AAGGATCCTCAAAAGTCATGATTGGGTCCCACCAAATGTAACGAACACCTCACAGATACTGAATGGTCAAAGCTGCTGCCATGAATGCTGTACAGTTTTAATTGGTGCTTATGTGATGATACTACATGTACTGTAACATCCCCATCCCTTACTCCTTAAAAACCCTATTTGCTATTGTTCGGGGCTTCACCTTCTGCCACGACACTGGTAGGCGGGTGAGCCCCTGCTTGAGCTTGTAACAAAGACCCTTTTGTACTTGCATCGGTGTCGGCTCCTTGGGGGTCTCAGGGGACTCACGAATCGGGCACAACATTTCCAAATTGAACCATGTGGTGTTTAATTGGCAGATCCTGCATGCTCCGGGGGAAGAGCACCCCTGCCAACACGTGCTCAGTCCCTTCAAGTCCCTGGCAGTCGTGGGGGTGTGCAGAAGGGGCCACTGTTGGTCTACTTTGAGCCTCCCTAGAGATGAATGCTGTTGAGAGAGTTTCCTTTCAAATTGCCATCATGTATCTACTTTCACAAAGTGCCTGTTCATAAGTCTTGCCCATTTTTGGTTGTTTGTCTTTTTATTATCAACTATAGTGGTTCTGCTATTATTTAGACACAAGCCTCTGCCTGACACAGTGAACATATTGTATTATCAGTGTTCTTCCTGTCCTGGGGCTTGCTGACTTTCCTAATGCTGTCTTTTGAAGAGAAGTACCTAACTTAGCTATCCCTCACATTTTTTTTTAAAGTATGGCTTCCTTTAAAACAACCACAGCAGGGGTGCTTGGGTGGTGAAGTCAGTTGGGCATCCAACTTCAGCTCAGGTCATGATCTTGCAGTTCATGGATTCCAGCTCTGTGTCGGGCTCTGTGCTGACAGCTCAGAGCCTGGAGCTGCTTCAGATTCTGTGTCTCCTTCTCTCTGCCCCTCCCCCACTCATGCTCTGTGACTCTCTCTCTCTCTCAAAAATAAATAAAACATTTAAAATTTTAAAAAGAAAAACAGCAAACTGCATGGATTCATTCCATATCTGTGAAAGAAAAACATTATTTTATTTATTTCACAGTGGAAGAAAAACCAGTATGGTTTCACTTAGGAAGGTTTTATTTTCATATTTTCTCATCTACTTGTAATGCATCTGAGCCGCCCGGGCTGATCCGCTGCGGCTGGAATGTGACTCGGCATGCCAGGGTGCTTGGGGAGCAGGTCTGAGAGCAAAGTTCCAGGGTTTTGGTGGAAAGCTTAGTGTTTTCTCGATGCCCGGTAAATGTCTGAGCCACAGAAACACGGTGCTTTATGGAGGACAGGTGGCCGCTGGGCATTCGGTGAGGAGGGTCACACACGGAGCGGCTGCAGGGGGGGTGGGACCAGGATGCAGGACCCGGAGGTGCCCTGATGTCTGGGTCGAAGGAGGCGTTTTCAGGAGGACACTGAGGGGCCCACTCGAGAACACACGGTAACACGTCAAGAGCTGAAGAGCAGAGGCCACGGACAAGCACTGTGTGGGACAAAGGCAGCATCTCAGCCGGCGAGGGCCGAGGTCTCCGTGAGCAGCCTGTCCTCACTGAATCTTGTGTTGCGGAGCGAAAAGAACCTGGCATTCACTCTTCCTCTCATCCAGCTGTGTCACTACGGTCTTCACCCCCACGATCCGCCTTGGAGCTTCCCTCTGTAAGCAGGTGCCACTGCTATTCAAATGACACGTGGCAATGGCCCTTAGCGTCTGCAGGTAGAGAAGCGCATGTTCGCATCAGGGTTGTCAGTGGCGCGTGTGTCACAAAGCCAGCAGCTCCCGCTTTCCACGTGGGTCAGCGTGGACTCCACCCACCACACTCCGCCACCGAGTGAACAGAAGAGAGGTTTCCTCCTGTGACGGTACTAATGCTAGCGGCACCGGTGGAATGAAACGTCCCTGCGGAACCCACAGCCCGCCCCGACGCTGATCTGGACAGCAGTGTCCTGCCTGCTGAGCGCCTGGCCCTGCGGGCACCGGGCCCCCTGCGCCGACTCCCAGGCTCGTGTCCCGTGGAGGAACCACCCCGCACGGGCCCGCCCCCACACCCGCCAGGCGTGCCCGCCGCCGCTGTCTCACTGCCCCACCCTGCCTGTCCCCGTCTTCTCTGGGAAGCCTCCCTGCGAGGGCCGCCTCCTCTGTACGCCCTCAATTTTCTTGTTGTCAACTTCGAAGTTACACACAACCACCTTTGTTCCTGCTCAAACTCATGACTTCTCTCTAGTGTCGCTTCACTTGCCTCAGCTCTTGCTCCTCTGGGACCCTGGCCTTCCTGTCCTGCGCCATCAACTCACTGGCTAATCCTCTGTTGAAACCCCCAGGTAAGGGGTGCAGGAGACGCCAGCAGGCTCCCAGTGGGCATGAGAGGGTCTCCTGGCCCGAGGGCCACACCTGCGGCCCCGAACCCCGGGGGCAGAGCAGACAGTCACTCACCGGGGAGTGTCCAAACCCGGACCCCAAACCCCCGGCCCCCGGGGTCAGCAGCCCCAGGTGCTCAGAAGTCACCGGGAAGCTACAACAAGAATTGAGTTGGGTGCCTGCAGAAGAAACAAGTTGACAGGTTATCCGTAAGCAGGGCCTGAGTCCAAGTCGGCACGAACTAAACTGCTGTAGGGTTGGTGTGTGCATTTGATCCTCCTTTGAAACACATATTTGGTTGAACCAGATGAAGTTGCCCTTTTCACAGATCAAAACCAGCTGCATGCTGGTAATTTTATACAGTTTAACCTAATAAGGTCAACGGCAGGCAGCCACCAGGGAAAGACACCCTTCCGAACGCCAAGTCGTCCATTCCCACGTGAAGTCCTTCTTCCAGGCTGGTGGCCTCCGGGTCCGAGCAGATTTTATCAGCGTCTCCACCGGACAGCCGATCGCTTGTAAACCACTAACAGCGCCTTCACTGCCCAGGCACCTTCCCTGAGGGTCCGGGACACGAAGCCAGTTCTGCTCAGCTAGTGAAGAGCGAAGTCTCAATCCAAAAAGAATGCCTCGGAGGGGGGGGGTCAAAAATGAACAGAATCTGTTTATCCCACAATGTGTTTAGACCACCCCTCCGCACAAGGCTCTGGCAGCCCGCGATCACATTCTTGCTTTCTTGTCTACAAAAACATGGGTGTGCCAAGAGCGTGTAAGCCCCATGACACACACCACATAACAGGAATCATTTTGTCATCCGAACCCCACAGGGGAATCTTCCCAGTGGCCTAGTTACTGAAAGCGGAGCAGGAGGGACACTTTTCCATCGGAGGTCAGGATGCCCCCAGAGGTCAGCGCCCCTCCCCCCCTGCCCCCGCCCTGGCCCACCAGCCCCCCACCCCGCCTCCGCTCACTTGTGCACCCACCACAGACGGCCCACCCGATGGGGCCACCCCAGCAGCTACACTGAGAGTCTCAGACTTCCTTCCTGTAAAATGATGGGTGCTACCTCAAAACAGCCTGGCAGCATCAGGGAGACGGACAAGTTAACCTCCTTTCACAAGCTGTGAGATGCTTCCGGACCCCACCTCCACCCCCCACCCCGGCTCTCTCCCAGCCAGGCGTCCTCAGGAGCCTCACAGGGCCTCCTCTCTGTCCTGTGCCCTCGTCACCTGTGTACGCCTCTGGGCCCAGGTGTTTAACCGTCGGAAAGTCTGCCTGCACCCTCACGTCTGGGCTCTCGGGGTCCACCCCTCCCCCGGCCTCTGACTCCACCAGCGGCTCCCCCTCCCCAGGCCCCGATTCCACCGGCAGCCACCACTCCCCGCCTCCACCACCTCTGTCCAGGCCCCGTCAGACGCCTTCGGCAAGTCGGCTCCCAGGGCACCAACAGCCGCTGCCCACTGCAGGCCAGGCTGGGGCAGAGGCGGCCCCGGGCGCTGCTGTCTGCCCCCCGGCTCGTCCCTGGCTCTGGTGGCCCCCGGGCCAGCCACTCGGGCAGCTCTCACCTCAGCGAGGGCTTTTACAAGCTTATTCTGTCCTTCATTTTCCCCGGTAAAGCTTTGTAATGTTTGGGTGTTTTTTTTTTTTTTTTAACATATTAGTTTCTTCTCTAAAACATTATTTGGCCCTTATTACTGACATTCAATAATTTAAAATTTCTTTTTCTCAAAGTCATATTTGATGTAACTGGAACCAGGACTTAATTTGGAGAAAATTCATATAAAAACAAAAACAGTATGTGAGACAAAATAGTACTTACTGTGAAAGCCATACACAAAAGTGGGTGTTGAGGACAAGCAAGGGCTCGGGCACCTGCCGGCGGGGAGGTGGAAGGCAAGGTGCTGTGGCCCTGGGGCACTTCTGGGGTCCACCCGATGGGACGGAAGGCAAGGGCTGGGGCAGGTCCTCGAACGACACCAGTCACAGCAGGCATCACTCACGATGCCTGGCGGGGGGGGGGGGGCACCGAAGCGGCCACAGACGGACAGACGGATGAACACAATGTGGTCTGTCACTTGAGGAAACTCCTGGCACCCGCCACGATGCAGATGGATCCTGGGGACATTATGCCCAGTGACACCAGCCCGTCATGAAAGCGCTCCATTCATAGGAGGACTCCACAGTCACATCCATGGACAGAAGGGACACTGGGGGGGGGATGGGGTAGGGGGGCCCGGGCTCAATGGGGACAGTTTCAGTCTCATGGGGAAAAAGTTTCGAGACATGGATGGTGGTGGGGGCCGCGTATCAAGTGCACACAGTTAATGCCCACTTAAAACTGCTTAAGATGGTGGCCTTTATGTTACATGTATTTTACCAGAATTAAAAATAATATGAAAAGTAAAAAATTTCAAAGGTCGTAGATGGAATTAAGTGAGATTCTGCAGGTTTACTTGCCGATCAATGCTTTGCTTACCTATTTTAAACTAGTTTTAAAATAATTTAACTTTAACAAAGGGAGACACTATAATTACTATAAATGGATAAAATAATTTTAGTTTCAGAAAAATAAAAATGAGATTTTCTAAAATTTTGCTCCTCCAAAACGGCAAGAGAAAGCAGGTATATTTATGGTCAGTCTGTGTGAACATTCCGGCGTGGAGCCTGGGGTTGGACCCGTGGTTTCTCAGGGGGCAAAGCCAGTGAGCAACAGCTCTTGGAAGGAGGGGGGCGAAGGGATGGGTTGGCTGGTGGTAGAATTTACCGGGGTGTCTCCAGGCTGGGTGGCACTGCATGCCGGTGCCCATTTGCCATCTGGAACTGTTCTAGAAGCTTCCAGACTCTCTTGGTGGGTCCCAGAGAGACTTGGTTCTGGGACTTTGGAGGGCAGATCCCTGTCGTCTGTCCCCAGAACATCTATTCAACTCTGTGGGGGCTCGTGTGGAGGCCACGGGGCCCCGGCTCAGCTGGGAGGAAGGGCCGGGGAGCCAGACTGTGTGCAGGGGCCCCGTTCAGCGGGCAGGAGCAGGGCAGGCAGTGTGGAGGCTGCGAGCCCACCACCCAGCGAGGCCCCCTCGCCCACAGAGTCTGGTAGGAAACAAACCCTGGGTCACTTTTTATTGAAGAAAACTCTGTTGTGACTTGACCGCGTCCTGTGCGCAAGCGCCGGAGGCCAACTCCGTTTCTCCAGGAGGGACCGTCCTGCGGGCAGGAGAGCAGCGTGCGGGACTCAGAGCCGCCGCTCACGGGCCCAGAGCCTGGAGGTGCGTCCCCTCGTGCCCGCGCACCAGCCAGCCGCATCACTCGGCTACAAGCAGCTGCAGTTTGCCGTCCAGGGTGGCGGTGGCAAGCTGCAATCGAGGACGAGATGGGTCCGTTAACTGAGGATCTGGCAGGAAGCAAGGACGCTTCCTGGTGCATTTTCCTTCAAGTTCCTAAACCACAGGACAGAACGCATTAAGAACAGCTCCGTCTCCACGTGCAGCAGGTGCTGGACTTCTACTCGATGGAAGCAAACGGCATGCCACCCCCACTCGGATGTTTGTGCCTCAGAAGAGGACGGGGGCCTCAGGGCGCCCACCAGCTCCCAGGCACTCCCCCGAGCCAAGGGGTGAGCCAAGGAGCAGGCTAGGGAGTGGGCCGGGGAGCCCCACCTGTGGCCTGACCGAGGCGCTATCCCCAAATATTGGTAAAGGTATCGAAACTACATTGGCTCAGATATCTAAAGCCCCCAGCTTTGCCTCCTGAGAGCGCCCCCTCCAAGTAGTCACACTGGGGGTCAGGGCCTGACCGTGACACAAGCCACGCCTTCCACTCTGCTCTCAGCGACACAGACCCTCCACCCCCCATGTCCCCTGTCCGTCCGCCTCCACCTGCCTCTGGGCTCGAATGAGGAAATGGGTGCTGGGCACTGACCCCGTGAGTGACCCGCAGACCAGGTGGTGGGCACATGGCAGCTCCCACACAGGACTTGGGCCCGGCGGCCACAGCGCCCTCACCTTCCCTGGGGTTCCGGAAGCAGACGAGCCCCAGGCTCACTAGAGCTGGTCTGAGGCGTGGAGCCGAGTCTGCTGCCCCCAGTCCCATTCTTTGTTCCGGGCCGTGACGGCCACGTGGGGTGCACGTGGCTGTCCACTGCCAACAGGCACGCCGCGAGCTCTCGGTGGCTTCCAGCACCCGGCTCTACTGGCACTGGGCCGGCTTACTTCACAGACCCCCAGTGGTCTCTTTTCAACCAAAGAGCAGTGGATTTTATCTCTGAGGGTCATACAGTGGGTGGGGGCTGATTAACAAACAAATGAAAACAGTGACTTTCATCCTAAAGGCTAAGGAAGCGGTTACAAACCCACAGTTTGAAGACTGCCCTTGGAACCAGGTCCCAGAAGGGGACCCAGAGCGGCTGACACGCGCGGTCCTTGCTCATGAACGGCTCCACACAGATTAAACGGAAGGACGTCACCAACCACACGTGTGCTATGTGACATTGGTAAGTGGCCACGCTGAAACTCTGCATTTTGACATACTGCATGAATTGCCACCTGGTTGTGCAGTGTGACCTCAACACCAATCCGCTCACACTCTTCTCACCCAAGAAGACAAGGCAGCACCCACCTACACACCTTCTCTTCCTTCCAACCACACCTCAGCACCAGCGCCCTGGCAACGTGCTGCCTCGCCCTGTGGTACCTCAGTGCCATCTTTCCACCCATCCCGACGGCCACCACACTCAGGTTCTTGGCTCCTCCAGGAGCCACGGAGGCTTAGCGCTGTGCCCAGTTCAGCCACATCAAGTCACTGTGTGACCCCTTCGGTGTCACGGTCAAGAATCTGAACAATGTCCATGGGTCGGGGCGCTTCGGTCTCGGGTGCGGGTCTGTTCATCTCTTGGGCGTGGAACCATCCTCTGGCCAGTGCCCCCCAGCACACCCCCTCCTTCCCCGTCTCTCGGGTGTGCTCCCAAAGCCTTCCACAACTGGCCTTTCCTACCTTCCCCCTTTGGCTTGTTACCACCATTACAGTAAAGTCATTTGATACAACTCTGATATCTGGACCAATGTGGTTTTGATATCTTTATGGATATTTGGGGATAGCACCTCGTCCAGGCCACAGCTGGGGCACGCTGAGCCTACGGGCCATGGGAAGGACAAGATGGCGAGCAGAGGAGCCGTGTGTACTTTTGTGGCCTTCGACTTCTAGAAGCCTCCGCCTCAGAATAGGTAACACATCTATGAAGTAGTCAATAGGAGAAGACTGCTGTGTCTGTCTGCACAAATCTAGCAGGTCCCAGGCTGGGAGGAAGAGAGAACAGGTGCAGAGCCTCCAGCTCCGCGGGCCCCGCAGAGTTCAGGAACCCGCCTCTGCAAGGAATCCTTCCCTGGAGAAGCAGGTGACAGACACTCAGACAGTCATGGGTCCCCACCCCACCCCAGAGCACAACCCAGGAAGCAACAAGCACTGTGTGTGGTGTGGTGGGCAGCTGGGTGGGAGGCACCCCCCTTGCCTGGCCCTGAGCCCAAGACGCTGTGGTGGGCCTGGCCCACTGAGGTCTCCGCAGACATGGCCCAGGAGGGCCAGCCATGAGGGCCTGTCTCCCCTCGTCATGTGTGCTCCAGAAACTTCCCGACACCCAGGGGCCCGGCGTAGCTCGGGCCACAGGACAAACAGCCAGTCTGGAGCCCAGGGGGCCGAGGCCAGCAGGCACCGCAGGTCCTAGGGGCTCCGGCTGCTGCCTTCTGGCACAGCTGTCCCCTGGGGAGGGGCCAGCACACAGTCGAGGACCGCTCTGGGGCACTAAGCCAGTTCCTGAGGGCGCCCCCTCATGACACAGTCACTTCCCCTCTGAACACAACACACTGGGGCTGCGCCTTCCACCTATCAGTTTGGGGGGCGGGAGGGCAAGCGCCCAGGTCAGGGTTTGGGGCGGCGAGGAGTCACACTTGCTCAGTGCACAAGCAGGGGCGCAGGACACAGACACACACCTGAGAGACACCCGTCACAGACGCCTCCACGAACCGCTCTGGCTCCCGCCTGGTGTCCCCTCCGTCCCCTTCACCACCTGAGGGCATGGCTTGCACTCCCCACGTGCAGCCGCCTGCCATGTCTGCACCGCAGCCCCCGGGAAACGCATCCCCAGATCACCTGAGGTTTACTAAAACCTCACTTTTCATCTTACAACTGTTTGGGTCGAGATGTCCCAGTAGTATGCTAGGTGGTGAGCCACCAGCCCGGCAACGCCTCCCCGGGATGACGTTTTTATGTGGTTTGACACTGACCGATGTTCGCATTCAGGTGAATCAAACATCAGCAATGCAGAAGGAACAATGAGCACGACCACCAAGTGCTCACAGCGCACAGCACTGCCCGGCTTCCACCGTACCGGATCAACGTAGATACTCCGCCTGAGGAGACGCCGGCAGAGCATCTGGATTTTGTTACTGGGTTAAAATGTTAACTCTCTTCCAGAGTTTCAGGGTGCTGAGCGTGACCCCGGACTTGGGAGTCAGACCTTGGTTCCATTGTGACTTTCTCATACAATCTGGGGGAAGTCACCTCTCTCCGCTGTTTGGGATAAACATTGGGGCGACATTAGCTACCCAGGAGTCCTAAGGGCTGTATCAGTTCACGCACATAAAGCACCTACCGGAACCAGATGTGTGGGGCGCACTGGACAGTCACAACATCAGCATCGGCGTGGGACCAACCAGATAAAACACAGATACAGACAAGATTCTGCAGTTTTCAGACCGAGTGCACAACTTACATAATCCAAGAGGAACAGACTGATGTTTACAGTTCAGATTGTGGCCTGAGAATATTTCCTGTTTTGGAAGGAGAACTTAGTTCTTATTTCAAAGAAATGGTTAAAATCAAGTCAGATTTCATACTGGAGCAAAACTTCGCTTATTCACAAGTCCCTAAATCTTACACTCACAGACATGTTAAATTTATTTTAAAATTTCTCTTTCCTTGGACTGTATCAGAGACATTGAGGATAAACCACCCACATCTGGGACCAAAAAAAAAAAAAAAATGAGGTTTATCCATTCTAAATACCTCAGTCTGCAAAACACGACTACAAATCTCATGCTAATGACATCTTACAACATTAATAACCCTTTCTGAGAACAGATCTTCAAACAACATAAAATAACTTTCTGATGGCTGAGGCCCCTCTATTTCCAAACTTTTGAACCATTGGGAAAAGCAACAGCGTCCAGGGAATAAACACAGTAGCTCTTAATACTATGAGTTTCATTTGCATTTGGCTAGGAATTCAGCCTCTGAAGGTCAGACCTTCATCCGTGTAAACAAGCACAAGGTGTGTGTCGCGGCTGTCTGTACTGGTGGGTCCCTGGGGTGCAGGTGCCCTGCGGGGCTGGAGGGGAGGAGGCGCCAGGGCTGCCCGGGAAGCGCTACGGCAGGAAGACAGCGCGAGAGTGAGAGACTTGTCTAAACACGCAGGACGTGAGGTGAGTCCCTCTGGAGCCAGGTGATTCTCCCCACGGCTCTGCCTGGAGACATGTGTCACTAACTCAGTGGAGGGGACAGAACCCAACCTGTACTAGTTGAGTAGAAAGGCATTTTACTATATGGTCATTGGATGTCTACAGGCACTGAACAGCAAAAACGGATTTTGGAGTCAGAAAAGCCAAAACACGGACTTGACCACCACCGGGATCCCGCTGTCAGCACCTGTGTCTTCCCCTGTATATGCCTACCTTGTTCTTTTTTCTCTTTGGAAACCATGTGTTTCTACATCACTGGTCCACGTGGCCAGAGACAAAGCAAAGAAACAAAACCAACGGCAGCAGAAGCCTTATCTCACTGATGCTACCAGCCGTCAGCTGCGGCCACTGCTTCCCCTGAGTCCCAGCTTCAAAATGTGGCCTACGCAGGGTCAGGGGTCAAGTTACTTGCTGCTCCTGTGACGGCCACGTGGGCGGAAAGTTCCCAGAAAGGCAGTGAGACAGAAAGACAAACTACAAGGGACAGGGATGAGTCCTTTCCTCAGATAAAATTAGGACGTCCTGTGAACTGAACACGTGCTTTCCACCGCACAGGGGCACCGGCCTCACGACTGCTCTTGCAAAGCCGAGGGTAGTGACTACGGAAGGGACCAGAATGAGGCTTGGACGGGCACCATTCATGCATACGGCTGAGCTGCGGCAAAACAGAGACAAGCCCGGAAAAGGAAAGGAAAGCCAGAGTGACAAGTGTATGGCATCACTTTCTGCCCAAGGAAATCACAGTTTCTGTTACAGCAAAGTGTGTGTGTGCTGGAGGGAGAAGGTGAGGATTTGAGGTCTCATGATAAGAGGCAGTTGGGCCAAATAAACCCACACAAAGCCAG